CCTTTGAGCCAATCACAGGTGTTTTCTGTGACTCTCAGTCAGACTTCTACACCTGTTGACAGGTATTCTGATTTCACTGCTCATCAGCAAAGTGCTCTAATTTGTCCAGGACAGTTTTTTATTTATTTTTTAAATTAATATTTTCACCCACAAGTCAAAAGCAACATCTTATTTCATTAAATTATAATTTAGCAAATTTTTATTTATTATTACTTTTTTCAGTTTCTAGTAATTTGAGTGACTTTTGTGAATTTTGCCTTTTCTTTAATGGAAGAACACATTTGAGAACAACTGTATATCACTGAAGAGAAAGACAGGCAATTACTTTCTCACAAACAGACTTTACAGCATTGTGTTAGGCTTATACTTTTGTTAGCACAAAGTTTTTAAAAGAAATCTTGCAAAATTCTTACGATTTTTTCGCCAAATTGTCTTGTTTTGCTCCTTTCTTTCGGCCAATTTGCTTTCTTTTACACGTCATCCTGTGCAGCGTTTGTCACTTCCTTTGCTAAAAGTTTTCACAAGAGTTTACAGAGTCGAGGAGACACTTGGTTTTCTGTCACCATCAGCAAAAACACCAAATCAAGTAATTTTTACATAAAGGCGCCGTGTCCCATTTCTGTCAGCGCTGACAATCTAGACATGTGCAGAATCGATGTCAAAGCACACGGCAGCGGTTTTTTGGTAGCTCGTGGTTTCCTTTTAAAAGGCTTCATGTCATCACTGCCATTATATAGTCGCTGTTTTAAATCATAGTGTGTATTGTGTTCATGAGCACCAGCACTCGCAAGACTTCCAATTATTGCTGGAGAATGTGAAAAGTAGACAAAAGCTTAACAAGGGGCCTCTAACAAGTAGCAACATTTTGGCACCGACGCTCCACAAGCAATCAAAGCCAGACAGCATGGCGGATAAATCAATGCAATTATTTAGGGAGTATCAAGCTGAGTAATGTGTATTGTGTGCAAAGTGTCTGAAAAGGCTCCTCTGTGCCAACACCCAACGCTTCAGCGCGCATGTGTGTTTGAGACCAAGGTGGCTCACAAGTCATCAGCCCTTTGTCATCACCCCCAATAATCACATTAGAATTCACACAATAATCCAAAAAGAATGTGTGTATTCATCAACTGTACCCCAGCACACACACACACCACATCCTGAACAAGTCCAGCCTTATCTCTGCACTGCAGCAGCAGCACATTGACTCCGTCAGTTCTTCCCCCCCCCCCGAAAAAAAAAAAAACGCTCAGAGCTCACAATGTTTTATTCCCCGGCAAACGAGAACAGCTTGATTTATAAGTTTCACGCCACTGATGAAGGTGTACCCAGTGGACTTTCAGTTTCTCAACAGATTAAAAGGATATGAACTTTTTCTTCCTGTCCCACTGAGCACAATAGACTGTCGCCTAAATGAAAGAATATTCAATCAGGAACAGTTTTATCAGAGAATGTGTGACAAATGGAATTTTTTGCCCGAGGCTCCTGCAGGCACTCTGCAAAAAAAGAAAAAGAAAAAAAAAAAAAAAAGGCACCTGACCAGCTTCACTGCTGCTGCAGCAGGACTGACAAACCATTCTGTGCTTTGGGAATCCTGTAAAAGTGTTTGTGTTACTATTTCCATCATTCTCTCAGCACTGTTTTTTTGGGGGTTTTTTAACGCACACCGTTGAAATCCAAACTCAGGCACATAAAAACCGCTCATCTGCAAATACAGTCGTGACTCGATAATCCGACACTAAATGTAAAACCTTCTTTTATGTCGGATAGCAAGGCTGTCGGATTGTCAAGACGGAGGTCCAGATACAAGGAGGGCTTGATGCTGGAAGGCTCATTAGTTGTTAATATTTATTGTATATAGTTGTTATAATAACTGGTGTATTGTTAGAACACTACGCATCACTGGATTTCACAACTAATTGACTGGTGCGATTATGTATGTTCCAGCTGCTCCGACGGGGTGGAAGTGTCCAGAGCACACAGGCAGCACTTGGCTGCTGATGCTAGTTTAGTTAGCGGTCACACTTCTGTTTCCACCATCGGTGGCGGCGGGGGAGTGGCAGATACGCTCCACCGTTACCATCCATGTTTACTTCTGTAAACACTGAGCACGCTCACTGTGCATGACGTCATCGTGTCCTCTTCTGCGCATGCGGGACACATTTGACTCGTATGAAGTTCACACAGCAGATTACATACAAGTCGCATTTAACTGGAAATTTGAAGGAACTCACAAAAAAATCGGATTTCACAAAAAATCCTCATTGAGCATCAAGTCCTGCAGTGTGAACGTAGCCAATCTGTGGGATTGTTCAGTCAGATAATACGCTGTTATCCTGATTTGTGACATAAAATGTCATGTTGGAGTCAGAATCCAAGGCTGTTAGTATGTTAAGGCTGTTTTTATGGGTTCTGTTTGTTTTTCCTAAAAAACCTGTCGGATAGCAAAGTTTTGGATTGTTAAGGGTCAGATTATCGAGTCACGACTGTAAACTCTTCGGAAGACACCAGAACACACAGATGGAAGTTAATTAAAAGGTACTAAATGCAATTGGATTTTGCAGTTTAAAACAATGATTGTATCATTTTCAGACTTACTAAATAATCCCTAAAACTGCATTCAACACTATTAAACAGATGCATTTCAATCAAAGTCAAAATCTGGGCGAGCTAATTTTCATGCAGTACGTACATAAATATAAAGGCTGCCACACAAACACTGTTGGGTCTCTGAGCAGCTCCGTCAGCAGCACACGGTGGAAGAAGTATCCATTATATGGATCTATAGTGTATATAGCGTGTGTGTGTGTGTGTGTGTAGCTCTATTGTATTGTATTTCTCAGCTCTTCCGATTTATAGTTTGTTTTCTTTTCTTTTCTTTTCTTCCTGTCACTTTTTTGTGCTTTTTCCTGTATCAGTACTGCTGCAACAAGTGAGTTTCCCCATTGGTGGTGAAAAAAAAGTGAAATCTAATCTAATCTAATCTAATCTAATCTAATCTAATCTAATCTAAACCAGACAATTTGACACATTTGACTTATTGTTAGCTTAAATGACGATCATAAAATTCCAGTAGTGCCTCCAAGAGGTGGCTGGGAGTCTCATCTTGCAGATCTGTAAAGTCAAGATTGTTCACTGAAACCCAGGTTTCAATGAATGCAGCTACGGTGTCCCCGTGTACGTGAAGGCAGGATTAGAAAGCAGCCGGCCCATAAACACGACAGAGAGCGTAGAAGACACAGTTCATCCGCAGCTAGTTGACAGAGACAGGAGCTGATGTGTCGCTTGTTGCTTCCAGCTGTTTGTATGAGTTTTTCCTCTGAGTTTAAAGCATCAAGCAGCAACAGAACCCACATGAGCACGACGGTTAGACATGTCACACAGCACGATACAGCAGTAGCTTCGTTAATGACTTACAATTATAAATGATCCCTGACATGGAGGATCGATCAGGATCTAAAGGTAAATGTCACCGTGTACGTCTCCACGCCTCAGACATGTGAACTGTCACACAGTTTACAGGCAGCAGTTACATCATGAGGTACAGGGTTGAGTCAGAGCCTCATTAAGTGTTCGCCAAGTAACACTGAAAACACGTTTTATTGATGCATTAGCTGCTGTAGTTTCATACGTGACAATCACAGAATCTTTAATATTGAAATCATGTATAAACTGCATGTCTAGCTTATAATTGAGAGGAATTATCCAGATAACCTAAATTTGAACTGTACCTGTATTAGTCTATGCAGATCAGAAAATTAGAAACCTTCAAGTGCATCAGTATGAACTGTCTTAACCCTCATTTTGACATAGTTTTCAACAAATCTCTATCCTACAACGGCGTAACACACTTCCTGAAATTCCCTCATGGCTGTTGGTTTTTGTGACGCCCCATTCTGGCCACATTCAGCAGAAAGTCTACTCAAATAGACAAGTTTAAAGCTGCATATCTTTTTCTTTTGTCACTTAGGGGCAGCAGAAGAAGCTAAAAGCACAACTTTAAATCACATTAAGTCGAGTATCCCCTCTAATTTTAGATGTTTGATCGTCCATCGTGTCCTGAGGGAAATATCTTGGTGTTTACCTGCTAAATCCTACCGCTAGCTCGTCGAGCTTACTGGCTCGTTGATAACTTCATCTATTAGTCGAAGCAAACGCTGGATTCTTGTTTAACTCAGCAGCCTGCTAAGTGTTCGGCTTACAAGAGTAATGAGCGAAATGTGCAAAACCTGCTTTCCCATTAACGCATAATCATCTGACCCATTGCAGATCTAAAAATATTCATTAGTGCAGCTTTTTTGTGGAATCCAGTAAATTAGTAACTCAGGTGGTTTTGGGGGAATCTCTGGCTTGATTTCAGCTCAAGGTATTTCTAAAAAAAAAAAAAAAAACAGAGGACAATTACTGGAGTAAAATCGTCGTTTAAAACGCTGAGAAACGTGGCTAATTGAGCTGCGTTCCACCTCCGTAGACAGACAGACAGTCAGCAGCAGGGCACACGGAGTTTATTTTCGGCTCTGGCACGGTACATCTCTGCCGTGTGTCTGCCGGGGGAAGACATTTTTTATTCACCTCCTTTCAACTGGCTTACCCCGCGCTCTGCTGACACTGTTCATTTCCCCTGATGAAGGAGGGGGGGGCGGCTGAACTCTGCGCCTTTCATCTGACATGTTCTGTACTTGCGATGCCCACTCAAACAGGCAAACATCTCCCTGATTATGATTAAACAGGTTGTGCTGCAAAAAGAGCCACAGTCATTAAGCCCCTTGCCACTGCTCAAGCCATTTCCTAATTATTGTCACCGTAGTTTTTCATCCAGCCGACGTAAGATGCTCCCCTTGTTCTACAGTCGCTTGCTCTGTTTCATGTCTCTCATACATCCTCTGCTACACGTCGTTTTTTTTCTCCCTTTCACTCAGCATACAAGAGGAAGTAATCCAGTCATTCTCCCACTCACTGTTCATGCCCACCCAGGCCTGCTTCATCCCATTTCCTCCACCCACCTGATGATGTGGAAGATGGCCGATATGAGGAGCTCGTTGTAGATGGCCACGGCCATGTAGCGCGGCTCGTGGAAGGCCGAGGGGACGGTGCGAACGGCGTAGCACAGGTAGACGCCCCACAGCAGGAACAGGAACTCAGCTGAGCAACGAAAGACACAAGGAGAGTGTTATCTGTAGGAAAATGTTAAATCAATTCAATTCAATTCAAT